GCTGCGGACAGACGGGCGGACGAGGCGCTGTGCGAGCACCAGAGACGTCGTCACACGGATTGGGCGCCTCGGGCAGTGAGGGGCACGGGAAAGCGGGCGTTCGCTGTGCTTCCCTGGAAGTGGCCCCGCTGGGAGCCGCCAGCCGGTCTGGGGCCGGGCCTACGGCAGAGGTCCACGCACAGAGGGCGTCCTAAGTACTGTTTAGAGGTCAGAGTGAAACGGAGGGGCAGTGCCGCTTACAGTGTGAGGTGTTAACTTTTTTAAAAATAAAAATACTTAAAAACCAAGGACACTGCCGAGGAAATACGCAGGGACCCTGTCCCCTTCGGGGTGGGAACGGGCCATGAGGAGGCTCCGTCGCTCGCAGGCCCAGCGCCTCCCGGCTCTGCCGTGGACTCTGGGGTGGTTTTCCCGAGTCGGCGGTCCACTAGGAATCAGGTTTCCTCCACTCTCTCAACTTCTGGAAAGTTCCAGAAACTCGTGTTTGGAAGGGCCATGCACAGGTGGGAGCACAAGAGGAGAAAGCTCAGCACGTCCCAAAAGACAGCCGTGCTGGGGACATGCTGACCGAGTGCCGGAGGAGGGCGCGGTGCGGACGGGCGTGTCCTCTAAGCGTCCTCTCGCTCTCACGGGCGTTACCTGCGTCTCTGCGTGAGATTCAAAGTGACATCTCAGGACTTGAGACTGCATTTCATTAAAAACTTTTTAAAGCCACTAGTTTTTTTTAAAAAAATTTAAATTGATTTCAGAGAAGAAGGGAGAGAGAGATAGAAACATCAACGATGAGAGAGAATCACGGATCGGCTGCCTCCTGCACGCCCCCTGCTGGGGATCGAGCCCACAACCCTGGCCTGTGCCCTGACCCGATCAAACCATCACCTCCTGGTTCACAGGTCGACGCTCAACCACGGAGCCACGCCGGCAGGGCTTGAAGTTTGCATTTAGAACATGGCGTTGGCTTTGCAAAATGAAACTGGTTTGCGTGTGAAGTAGACGGTCTTGCAGCCCCGGTGTTCTGTTAGCAGTTGCCTCCAGATATCAAAGCGAAGGAGAGGCCCCCAGCAGCCTCTTTCAGGTGCCTGGCCCGGACAGGACCCCCCGTGGCACGGAGACGCCGGGCGCCTGGCACTTGGAAATGGGCACCTCTGTGTGATCGGAGTCCCTGAGGAGGAGGCTCCCCTCTCTAAGCCGCAGCCCTTCCCCACTCAGCCGCAATGAATAAAGATGTTTCCAAATGCCCCGAGTGCTTTGCTTCACCGAGTAGCGTCTGTGTCCCTGCTGCGCGGGCATCAGGTAGGTCAGGCCCATCCGGAGTGTTTGGCGACACCCTGCGCCCACACCCACGGCACGTCCGTTTTCAGATCTTACAAATGTGTGGGGATGTGCACATCCCAGGCGTCCGTGGGCATCGGCACAGAGACCCTGGCCATGGACACGTGTGTGGGCTTCAGTGCCCGGCGCACCCTTCGCTGGGGCTGCCGGGACGAGAGGCCAGGGTCCGAGACTGGGCCTGGGCAGGTGGGTGTTCCCGGGGACCCCACTCCCTGGGGGGCAGACGGCTCCCCTCCGGGGCCTCACACGGCCACGGCCGGCCGTCTGTGCTCACAAGTCCCGTCTCCTCTCCTTAGAGGACCCAGGCGGGCTGGGTTAGGGCCACCCCACAGACCTCACCCGCCTTAATCTCCTTTACCCCCCGTTTCCAATGCCGTCACTTTCTCAGAAACAGCGGGGCCGTCAGCACGGGCATCAGCACATGCCCTGTCCCCTGTGCCCTGTGCCCTGTGCCCTGTGCCCTTTGTCCGTGTGGGATAAGGCGGCAGCGGCATCTCTCCTGCCCCTCGGCCTCTCTGCTGCCTCAGGGTCAGGCGGGCCATCCAGACGGTCAGCAGGGGGCTGGGCCCTAGGCCGACCTCAGGGGCCCAGCGGGCT